CATTCAGGAGGCTGTCATTTCGGTTGGTGGCATAGATTGTGTAAAGAAGTGGATTAAGGGAGTGTGACGTCATCCATAGCATTCGGCTCAAGTAAAATGAAGCTCATCGATGGCTAGCAGTTATAGGAGGGATTTTGGAGCTGAATTTCATATTTTGAATTCCAACCTCAAGTATCATAGCAACTAAAGAGCCAATCCAGAGCGAGGCTGTTGAAGGAAACGCCTCTTCCTCCCACACAAATGATTTGTCTGTTATAAAAGGGACAGTTCGGAATTTTGGACATAGGACCTCATTTCCTAGTGAGGCAGAGTGTTGGAGACGTGTGGAGACACTTTATAAAATATTCCATCTAGTCCTTGTATTTGCAGAGGTTGCTGGTTCTAGGCTAGTGCATGTTAATGGCCATAGTTACCCTGCCACTAAAAACAGTCTTACCCACTCCACAAAGCACACGAAGCAAATCTATTATTACACCAGACTGTCAGTGTAAATGTCTGTGTTGATAGAATAATGTCTGAAATAAAACCTAACCTTGCATCTCATGAATCGTCACATGTTGAGGGACTATTTTCTCATATATCAGTCCACCGCTGCCAAGCTTTCTATTGCTGCTGCTGCTCAGACATAAATCCTTCAAATGCAAGGTTGGTTTTACTTCTTAAGTTATTCTATCATCACAGATATTCACATCGACAGTTTGGCGTTATAATTATTTTGCTTCAGGTGCTTTGTGGAGTGGATAAGACTGTTTTTAGTGGCAGGCTAACTATGGCCATTGACATGCACTAGCCTAACACCAGCAACCTCTGCAAATACAAGGACTGGGTGGAATGTTTTAAAAATTGTCTTCACGCGTCTCCAACACTCTGGCTCACTAGGAAATGAGGCCCTATGTCCAAAAATCCAAAATGTCCCTTTAAAGTTCATACCTTGATGTACAGACAAAATGTTGGAATAATGCAAACATTTTAAGACTGAAATGACTAGCCTGACAGCTGCAGTTACAGATGGGCAACAGTTTTCATTAGAAAGTGAGTTGTAGCTGATTTGGAATGTGGTGACTAGTAGCTATGTCCATTTAAATATACTGTAGTCTATGGTTGGCAGTTTCTATAACCAGGTTCTGAGGTTTTATAATATAATGAGAAAAACGATTATGTGCCCTCAGTATGCAGGTTGAGGCACTGGCAAGTGAAGTTTTATACCAAGAGTGCAGGCTACATAACTGCCTTTGAAGGTACACTGTGTAACTGCCACCTGCTTGTCTCCATGGAGGTGCAAGTGTTTTTACCTCCATGTCTCTCAGTACGTCTATATCTGTCTCCATGGGGATAAGCAGGTGAAGCATCAGGAGTAGTTACAGGTCAGATATCTAGACACGTGCATCCACAATGCTTGTTTATTCCATTTTCAGCAATAAAAACATCAGTAATTGAATAGACAAGTTTAATGCCATATTGTGGAACATTCTAGCCAAAGCACTAACATGAAGACAGGAGGTGGTGGACCCCTTAGCAGTAATTGTGCACCGTTAAGACTAACAAAAACTAATGAATGCCATGCACCAGCCATCTTTTTTCATTCAATTTAACTGAAACCTGTGTCTTTGGTCACAACAGTTGACATTTCCAATTTCATCTAACACCATTCAGAATGACTTGAAAAGTATTGTTACAACTATGCATCTTGTTGCCATCTCAAAAATTGATGGAGAAGGTGTACCAGGCTCCAAATCATGACATACAAGCAACAAATCTTCATTTAAAAGTGTTTTTCTAAAGCGACACTACATCCGCTACTAGCTGTAGTTTGTTGAGACTATTATTGCTACATAAAGCCTTGTGCGTTATCCAAATTGATTTCCCCATTGCCGTTTATCCCTACAACACCAGCTGCATTGTCTAGCATTTGGCTCAACTTGAAATAAAAAAATCATTGCTCCACTGAGAAATACACTATATTTTTACGACTCATTTAGTGACAGGGCTGGGGAGGGAGACGAATTGAAGATAAGGATGCAAAGAGTGGAGAGGATGGAATGAGGAAGCAGGACAGGGAGTAAGGAAGGGATGAGGGCTAGGGAAGGAAACAAGGGACTTAGGGAGCTGCACATTATTTAGACTAAATGGGGTCAGGACCTTGAGATATCCACTGAATGGTAAATGCGGTGGTTCACATTTGCAGCTGTCCACGGCATGTATATGTGCTCATTATAAGTCTATGGTGGCACGTGGCATTATAGGTTGAATACGGGTTAATGGAAGTTTCCTGTTGTACCGCGGTAAATGGATGTTTATGTATACATGCATCCAGGTGGTAATTTTAAGTATACATGCTGTAGGCAAGGTTGCAACACACAGTCAACTATATGAGTTTCAGAGACATGGGAAATTTGTATTGTTGCCATAGCAATTCTCAATTAAAATTAGTTTTCTTTCTTTTTTGATGAAACATACATGTCCATAAACAGAAAGCTGAAACTCGTGAGTAACATTAGACTTAGACAAACATTATTGATCCACAAGAGACAATAGTTCTTCGGCTGTATTTTGACTGATAATGTGATTCAAATTATAATAATGTGATAATGTGAAAGTTTTAAAATAAACCCATCTCCCCTGATAATAACTTGTATCAGGTATAATTCTTTTTAATTTATAATCATTGTATTAGGATATCTGTAAGCAGTAGCCTTGTTTCTGGCAGTTGGTGTTCCAGTTACATTGTTAATGCAGTGCTATTGTTCTCAGTTCATATATCTTATAGTGTGAACAAATAAATACAGACATATCCAAATATATAAAAAGTGCACTGTGTAACATTTCTAGAGAAGGGTTTGCCACCTGCTTGTCGCCATGGGAAGGTTATTGCTTTGTCTAGAATGTTCCACAGTATAGATTAAACCTATCTATCACAAGGGAGATAACAGCACGATAACAGCACGACTCTACATTACAATTCAGATCTGCGGAGAGCCTCTATTCACAGAAGGAATCGTTCTATTTTTGAGCAGAAACACCAGTAATGAGCAGATGCTAGATGGATATGTTTAATGTCATACCATGGAACATTCCAAGCAAAGCAATAAGATCTCTATGGGGACAAGTAAGTAGCAGATCCTCCTTAAGAAAGATTGTGCATTACATCTTTAAACAAAATTATTAAATATACTTAATTGTCAGGATATTTCTCATCCTTCCGTGACCTGCTGGTTAATGTGAAAACTCAGAGGAACATGTCAACTATAAGCTTACAATTTTGTTCTTGTGCATAAACTTGACAGAAAACAAAAGAGTTGGCAAAACAAAACTTGGCGACTTAAGTGAATGAAAACTTATCTCTGAAGCTGAAGAAATACGGAGAAATAGTAAAAAGGATTTCTGTGTTTGAGGATTAATGATAAATCCCTTATTGCACCTCTAAAACCATTCCCCACACACTTTTTCTCTCTTGTTTCAACATTTATATTTATCTTGTGTCATTCTATTACTGCCAGATAATAAGGTCACTAAAACACTGACCTTATGTTGACAGTGTCTTCCTACCCCCTTTTGTCGCCTTGGAAACGGGCAGCCAATCGGAGCAGGGATAAGAGGAAAAGGTTCACGTCTGACACTGACTGCTACATCACTGTCTGAACACTGCACAAGATCAATGTATTGTTTTATCTAGAAAACCCCATAGAAATACATGTGTTCTTTTAGGTCAGTGGTTGTCAACAAATAAACTTCAAGCGTAGTTAGTTTTCCAAAGTTTTTAGATCTTTGGATTTTGCAAGAAATGTGTAATACATTTTGTGAACTGTATAACTTTTTTGCTAGGGGGTCTGTCACCTTGTTGTTTCTGTGGATATGTCATTGTTCTGCTGATAATGTTTCACAGTTTGACATTAAATAGATCTACTTTACATTTATTTAATTACAGGTGGTTTTATATCTTAAAAATACCTAGAAAAACAGGCATTCTGACCTAACCCTAACCCTAACTCCACAGATCTGACCTCTAACTTGACCTCATTTGGTCACTTGATGGACCCTCCACCAGAAAAGCTTATCTTACATTATTGCAACAGTTTTTTTTTTTTTTTTGTTTTTTTTTTTTTGTTTAGTTTTTTGGTCATATTTTGACCTGTAATAATGTGAGTTGAATTGCTATCCACATACTACAAAACCCTGTAAAAAGTAATGCTGATGTTAAAGACAAATCTGAACTATCTGGCGTGACATTGTAATATAAAAGCTATACTTGCTGCTGTGAATTCAATTTTCAGTCATCGCTATCTTGCTTTATTCACTGCACAATAAGGCGGACATGGGGGTGACATATTTTTATTTGAGTTACGAGCCTCAGGGTTACGCACTAAACCAGAGTTAATGCAGCCTAACCTTGCTCATGTCATTGAAGATGCCAAACAAAGTCAGTGCTCCCATTGATTTGTTATTTGTGCAGTGTGCAAGAATGCTAAAAGTAGCTGTATGCATTTTTTTTTTTTCTGTGTGTAGTTGTTGAGCAAAATTTGTTTCACCCGCAGTACATACTAGTGTATATTATATAAGCAGCTCTTGAGTCAGAAATGAGGCCGCCGTGCGCTGCCTATATCTAGCGTTTTATCCTCTGAGAATCAGGAAGTGCACTGTTTGCATGTTAGTTTTTTTGCAGTTTGTTAGCATTATCGTGATGTGACAGCAAAACTCAGATTACAAACTCTATCAAAAACTCTGTGAAATGCACTTATTAAGTCATGATGAATTATTAAGATTATGCATAAGGTACGTGAGGAATAATTTGGGCCTTGGGCAAACTGTTTAAAATAAAGTAGTGTTATAAAGACAGTAAAAATCAGGTACATTGCCTTGTATAACTTGTAACACCCCTGCTACTTTCTGTGCTGGTTAGGGCTCTTTCTCCAATGTGATGCATCTAACGCCAAACTGCTGTTGCTATCTGTGTATTGTTCCTGGGCATTGGTTGATTTATGTGTTTGTCTTTCTCTCTTCAGTTGGTGGGCTTCATCTACGCCTGCTATGTGGTCAAGCTCATCTCAGAGGAAGAAGACAGCTGTAAGTATCAGTCACACTGAATACTCACATACAATTGTGTAGGTGTTAAAGATTACATATTTAATAATAATATAAACAGATGAGTATGTATTTCACATTTAGTTCATTGTTAATTAGGTTAATGCTCAAAATTATAACAGAAACATGTCCATTTAACCTGGCTCATGCCACACTGATATGTATAGCACTGAATTGAGTTCTACACATTATCAATCAGGCGAAAGCGTCCGGAAATCACGGAGCGTCACAACAGCGAAACAAGCTAACAAAATCAAACGTTTGTTATATCCAGCTGAGAGAAAAGCCTTCCCTGTCCACATATGCACAAAGTGCTTATCTTCTGCACGTAATTTATATAAACAAAATAGTCTGTTGACTCTAAAATAGGCTGAAGTATGTCTGTGGATTTCGCCATATTTGTTTTGGTTCTTTTGGGCACTTTGTCTTTGACTTCTGCACAAAGGTCACCAACCACCTGTCGGGCACTGTTCCACCAGTGGATGCCAAGATGGATTCTCATGAGTTTGTGAACTCACAAATATCACGGGAATCCATCTTACTGTTCAAGGTTAAGGTCCATTGACATCTTGTTCAAAAACTGTGGAACTGATTCATAGTGGCATTTTACCATAGCCAGCAGCAGATTTTCATGTACTCTTTCATTTTTGATAAATGTGTGGCATTTTTAGCTGTATTTGAATGACCCAGAATCTAAATGTTTAAAATAGTCAGTAAGTAAAAAGTTAAGCTGTGGGCGGGGATATGGGGGAGATGAAAACTGAAATGTTCTGATCACTGACGCCTAAAAAGCAAGAACACAGGATCAAACCCAAACATATATAGGCTCTATTCATGTTACATCACAAACCAGGAAGTCATTTGGAAAGATGAGATTACAACTTCCGGCACTGGGCTCACGACCGACTATGATAAAACCCATTGAAGTAAATGTGATCAGCAGTAAAATGAAGACTGTATATGTATGTGCTGTTTTGGAATAATCTTGTATTTAGCGCACTGATCTCTTCTAATTGCATGTACCCAGTGCGCTCGGAGTTGTGTGTCAGTGGGGAAATGATGAAAACTGAGGTGTGTTTGCTGAATTAACCGAACATAACAGAAAGTTACAATGACATGCAGAAGAAGAAAACTGGGACATTTTCTCATTTTTCCTAGATTTTGTCAGACTTACTACCTCGACTAGAGCCCGCCAGAATTTGTAATTGCATCTTTCCAAACGCCTGTCTGGTTTGTGACGTAAGTGTGAATAGAGCCTATTAATGACTCAAAATATAACTTATGATGAAGCAACTCTAGTATTGCATCTCCATCTTTTGTTAAAAGCTCATAAAAGTCCATCAAGAGTTTGTAACTCAAGTTTGGTATGTGACCTCGTAAATATTTTTTTCTTTTATTTGTTTGGCCTTGCTGTAGCATTTGTTCTCACTCAAAAAGTTATTCCTTGGTCAAGTTATTTCAAGTTCAAGTTATTTTTTAGTTCAGCATTGGTACATTTCTGAAGTGAACAATTCATGTCAACAGTACTGTAATGACTGTGAAAATATCTTAATCTGCATACATATTCAAATATTCTTCCTAATCTCATTTTAAATTTAGCTGTAATGAAAAACAATCAGGAAGAACGCCTCAGAATTAGCTTGAGTTTGGATGTGCGCCTGGTTCCCCGCGGCTACAGCTGAACTATAGCTGTTGACATTAGGTTGAGCCAGCAGTCAATTTGGAGAAGAGTTTGTAAAGTGGTTGTGGGCGGTTGTGTTGAGTTGTGAGCCGTGTGAAATGAAAAGTGTGAACTAAATCAAATCTGTTCCTGAGTTTTCTGCTGCTTTCCTCTCCTCGTCTCCTCGTGTCCTTTTAGCGTCTCTCTGATGTTGACGGAGTGACTGTGAATGAAGCCATTTTTGAGGCAGGGCCGTGACTGACAGCTCCAGCTCCAGCTCCCCGACTTGGATCTTTTGAAATTACCGACAAAAGGGGGAGGACATGTTTTTAGAGGACGCGCTGAGTCATAGGTAGATACTGCAGGTTCAAATTGAAATTTCTTATGTTATGTAGTTGTATGTAATTTACCGGATTTAATAAGTATTTTGAAAACTTGTGTCAGGGTATTTGAACATAGTCTTTATGTGTCGCTTATGGTGTATTCTGTCTGTTCAAATAAAATTATCTGGCACGAAACACCAAATGTATGCTTTGAACTAAAAATATATATTTGTCAAAAGAAATAGGAACTTAAAGTGCCAAGATGTAAGAGTGGAAAATTATTACTATTAAAAAATTTCAGTTACATGATTACTGAAAACTTCCTTTACCTTTCAATACTATTAAAATGTTCAGTGAATTGAATTGAAAATTTAGTAAATTTTAATTAATTCCTATATTATGCAAAATTGACTCTTGTGAGCTTTAAGTCATGTTGTAATGCTGTTACCTCATCAGAAAGATACCTGGAGTTGTGTTTTGTTTCAGCAACACATGTTTAAGTAATCCTTTATTGTTAGTTTGTTTAGATCTCCAAAGCTCAAACTGCTCTGCTCCACCTTGTGATTCATGAAACTGTAGTTTTCAAGTGAGCAGCTGCCTTTTATCTTGTGTGAATGAAACAAAACACAACTCCAGGCATCTTTTTTATTAGAAAACAACATTATAGCATAGATCAGAAAATAGTGTATGTATGTAATGGGCCCTTTAATGTAATTTAGCGTTTTTTTCTTATTGGCTGTTAGTTTAAAGTGTTACAAACCCAGACACAGTGCACTGTAAGAATAGCGGCGTTCTCGCAAGCTATGTTCAGAGACTGATGGAATACACTATAAAATCACCTAGTATATGACAGTAAATATTGAATAAGACATATATCTAAACAACACTCCAATAAAAATGAGTGAAATCAATGTGATAACCTTGTACTTATTGCAGCGGGTCTGTCAGTGTTACTATGATTGAGATGTGCACCTGGGGTCATGACTTGAGTTATTCCATTAAAGCAGACTAGACCATCACAGCGATCAATACCCAAGCATGTCTTATTCAGCACAGGAATCAGCATGCTCTCTGCCCCACACATTAATATTAATAGCTTATAAATGCATTCTGAACCCAGGGAATGATCCACCAAGGCAACAAGTTCTTCTGTCTGGGAATGGGACAGAGACTATAATATTGAAAATTGTAATGTTAAAGGTCTTATATTACATGAAATAGACTCTTGTAAGCTTAAGCCATGTTATAATGTTGTTATCTCCTCAAAAGCTTAAATTCAGTTGTGTTTTGCTTCTTTCACACATTTTTTTGTTTTCCTGCATTTGTCTGTTTACAGCTCTACCTTGCGATGTCATGTAGTGGTACTTTTCAAATTAACACCTTCCTTTTACCTTTTGTTCAGTAGAGCTGGGCAATTTCAGGGCTGAAATCATCCAAGTGATTCCAGTGAAGATGTATGGATGTATGTATTTAAAAACACAGTGGGGAACTTCCTGTATTAGCACATGATATCATAAGGTGGAACAGAGTGTTTCCAGTTTGAGACAAGAACTCAGCCCAAATATGCAGGAGTCTGAATGTGTGAATGGAACAACACACAAAATTTTAAAATAGTGTAATATGGGCTCTTTAAATGTGAAATTATACAGTGTGCTCTTGGAAGACAATTTAAAATTTAAATCAAGGATGTGGCAACACTTGATTTTGGACCAGTTTGGGTCCTGCTGTAATCGTGGTTAAGTCCTGGTATAGTACTGGTTTAATTCTGGTCTAGTTTAGGTCTAGTCTGCTTTATTCCCAGTTTTGTTCCAGTTATGATGTGCTGATTATTCCAGTGTAAATGCAGTCTAATATACAGCATTTGTAGTTAGTTCACCATTTAAGCACCGTATAATTTAACTTAAGTGGGTACATTTTGAGAAATCTGAGCCTACTTTTTTGCGCGCATAATTAAAATTTCACAGTTATTTTCTTCTTAAGGAACAAAACACAGTGCTGTATGCATGCCTATAATTAACATGAAACTTTGAAAAGCCCTCTTCATTGCATATATTAGAATGTGAACAAGCACAAATGGTCTTTATTCTTTCATTTCTGATCTAACTTTGAGGATATCACAGAAGTGGTTTTGATCCACAAGTCTTAACACTCCACAGAAAAGCACTGGTCAAACAGTGTAACATTATAATTATAATACATACATGATTTGTACTTGCTTTAATATGACAGCAATCAATGTTAAGACTTTGCAAAAATACATTAAAGTCACTGCTCACAAAACAGATCATTTGCTATGACTATACCACTAAAGTAAGGGAGCCTAAAGGAAAAAAGATAATAGCTAATAAATGATTGGCAATATAAGCTTAAGTTAATTACTACAGAACACAGTTAAAAGTGTGTATGTTGTTAATGAGCATATCCATTAGTACTATAGACACAGACACATATTCTTTTGAGTGACCATTAAGATAAAACATACCTGCAGGCTTGCAATTTGGCAGCTATTGCAACGTGGCGTCCAATTATCTGCCTAATTAACTCAAGTGTTACAATATGATGAAAAGTAAAGACAATTTGAATCCTTGTAATCTCGCTGAGAACATTAAAAACTCTTCCTCACTATCACAGACTCATCTTTATGCGACAAATCTAATCCACTTTTTTATTGGAACTATTGCATTTTAAAGGGCCCATATATGCTATAATGTGTTTCCTCATCAAAAACAAACCAAGAGTTGTGTCTTGTTTCATTCATACACGTTTAATGCACAAATCCTGCATATTTAGGCATTTTTCTCTCAAACAGAAAACACCTTGTGATGTCATGTGGTAATACATGTGCTCTATTGTGTTTTTAAACTAGGTAGCTGTTAATTTGAAAACTACAGCTTCGTGATATTACAAGATGGAACAGAGCTTTGGAAATGTAGACAGACTAATAGTAAAGGGTTACACAAACTATGTGAATGAAGCAAAACACAACTTCAGGTAGATTT